ACATGCCTGGACAGACTCTTACATACCTGTCTATTTACACCTGGTGAACTGTATCCTTCAGGTAGATAATAATATCCAGTACATAAGCTCATCTCAGCTGTGTGCGGCAGGACTGCACAGTGTTTCTCCAGTGCAGGTCTCTTTTCTGGGACAAGCCACGCCTTCCCCCAATCAGGGTTCAGAGTTTGCTAGAGTGAGGCAGGACTGTCAGCATAGCGGCTTGCTGATTGGCTCCTTTAAAGCAGAGGAGAGGAGGGGTCTAGGAGGAGGGGCAGAGTAGAGGAGTGTACTGCCTTGTGTACATGTGCTCTGGAATTCTTCTTTGCGCCGATATCTCTGGACAGGCACAGTACTGCAGACAACACCACACGATGTAGACAGTACACTACAAACATAATAAATAATAACAACAGGAACAATAAACGTGTTGTGGAGAACAGTAAATGGATAGTAGTGAAAAACACGTGGTAGCCCATGCAGAAGGTGCAGAGTGCAGTCAGCTGTTGAGGATGCGCACTGCAGTGGGATAGAAGCTGTTCTTGAGTCTAGTGGTCTGTGCTTTAACAGTGCGGTACCGCTCACCAGAGCGCGGGAGGAGAACGGTCTGTGGCCGGGCAGGTTGGGATCCTGAATGATGGATGGGGCTTTATCGCGACAGCGAACTGATGGTCGATCACATCTGAAGTAAGATGTGAAGATGGGGTCAATTTTAAGTCCTTTCTGCATGAAGATTAGACTTCTAAGGCTGGAGTTTATGGCAGGAAGGGGGTTAACTGATTAAAGGATTCCAGTTAAAGGAATCCTTTAGGGGGTTAAAGGATTCCAGATGTGAGCTAGGAGAGCTAGGGAACCCCCTGGGGACTAATCCCTGACCATTTGGCCAAAAAGCTGTAAACTGGTCAAACACGTGACCCCCCCGCCTTTACCATAATAACGAATGACGAATCAGAACAGCAAGGAAGGACTATATAAGCCTAGAGTTTGTACCGGCACTTTGAACAATACTTCGGTTTTGTTGTTTCTTGCGGGAAACAAGACTTCGGCTTTATTGTTCCTTGCATGCAATAAACTCATCTGTTTAACTTCATCTCGGGATCCAGAACCTTATTCTTTCTGTTACAACACATCCTATAATCCCCTGTGTCACTGCCACAGCCCTTTGTACCGAGTCCCTGTCATGCGTGGTAGTACTGCTGTACCACACAGTGAGGACACCAGTGAGGACACTGTCTATGTTTCTGGGGAAAAAGTTCATGAGGAGCTGCATCCCCAAACTGCTTCCTTGTTGTGAGACCAAGCCAGACCAGTGGAGATCTGCAGGCAGAGGAACCTGAAGCAGCTGACAGGGCCCACTGCTGTGCCCTTGATCCTGAGTGGGGAGAGACTCCCTCTGGGTCTCCTGAAGTCCACAATGAGCTCTTCTGTCTTGTTGACAGTCAGGGCCAGATTGTTGTCAAAGCACCATCTTGTAAGATGCTCCACCTCACTCCTGTGTGCAGACTCATCGTTGTTGTTGATCAGCCCAGTAATAGTGGTGTCATCAGGAGACTTAATAATGTGATTGCTGCTGTATGTGGCTATACAGCCTAGGGGACAGGCTGAGACAGCAGCCTTGTAGAGCTCCAGTGTTCAGGATCACTGTAGAGGAGACAACGTTGCCAATTTTCACCACCTGAGGTCTGTCTCCCCATCAGGAAATCCAGTATCCAGTTGAAGACAGAGTTGCACAAACCCAGACTGGCGGGAACAATTGTGTTGAAGGCCGAGCTGTAATCTGTAAACAGCTTCCTAACACAGGAGCCCCGTCTGTCTGAATGTCCGAGGGCAGTATGAAGTGCTCGAGATACGGCATCATCAGCTG